TACAGAATATTAGAACAACCACGTGACGACAAAAGGATAAATCCAAAGTGAGAGAAAAAAGGTTAGCAGCCCCTGTGGAAAGCAAACGAGCATATATTATACGTTTTCCTTTCCATTTCCACATAGAGGAGTTTTCCCCACGAGTGTTCAACGCGGGAAAGAGAGGAAAAAATTCCCTGTTGGTCCGAACGCGCATATGCAGGGAAGCAGTTACAAGAAATTGCTGAACTGGGCTGAACAAGGCGCAAGCTAAAAGTCGCACTTCCCACATTGGAAGAACGCCGTACCACCTTAAATCGCCTTTCCTACTGCGCAAAATGCGAATTTTGAAGAAGGCTGTGAACCGATGGGGCTTAGCGCCGGCGCCCCCCCTAGGAAGCCGGAACGTGTGTTGCCTCCCCGCTGTGCACAAGGCACTGGGCAGCGTAGGCCCCATCAGAAGCATAACCAACATAACCCGTAGCGGCAACATCAGCACGAACAGTGGGCCGATAAACCACGCCAACCCCTTTTCCGGGAAGAGAGATATGGCCAGCGGCACCAGCGTCTCTTACGCGAAGGACAGCCAAATGGAAGAAAACATGAGCAACGAAGAAATCATGAAATTTTTCGAAGAAAATAAAAATATGAACATAGACAAGCTGTACAACATGGTGAAAAATTTAAGTAGAAAAAAAATGGAGGAAAGGAAAAGAATCGTGGAGGATGACAAATTTATCGGCATCCTTGAAGAAATCGAAAGCAGAATAGGAATAATGAACACGAGGTACCTGTGCAATTTCTCCCTACGGTTGGTGAGCCTGTCCATAAATAATGATGATATAAAAAAATTATTAACCAAAATAAGTGACCAGGTTTTAAAAAAAATGAATGTGAATCCTCGAGACTTGGTTGGTATATGCTTTGCGTTAAGTCTGTGCAACAATGTGAATGAGTATTTTTTCGAACATGTGAAAAAGGAAACCATTTCCAACATCGATGCGTACACTCCGACGTTGCTAACACAGTTACTGGAGAGTATGAGACTTTCCCAGAATTTGGACGTCGAGTTAACCAATTTGATTATCGAGAAAATGTGTGAAGAAATTGATCGATTTACAACAAAAGACGTCACACTGGCATTGAAGACCTTGTCCATGGCTGGCATCCCCCGAGGTTTTCTCATCAGACGTCTGTGCAATCTCGTATTTGACAATATATCTCATTTTCATCACTCTGCGTTGGTAAACATATTATACAATTTAACCAAACTGAAATTCACCACGACGAATCATATTGACGTGATTTACAAAAATGTAGAAGAACATTTGGAAGATTGTAACGTCACAACGCTGTGTGAATTGCTGTACACTTTTTACATGAACGAAATAAATGAAGAAAATAAAATTCGCAAAATTTTTGATCACATCCATTATGATCATTTTAATACCACCAAAACGGCTGTCATCATCGATTTTGTGCATGCCGCTACGTATTATAAGAATTACGTCGATGGGGAAAAGTTAACCAAATTAATTGAGTTGCTTTTCCAGCGGAATGTGCCCAAGTCGCTCACGCTCATTGCTAAGATAAGGGAACCCATTTACTTCCTTGCAGGGGATGAACAATTTATGTTTGACTTGAACAATGTATCCCCCTCGTGGCTAAATGCCATGAATGACTTCCTCCGAATTGACCACGAAAAACTGCAAGCGTTGAAAACATTTCACGAAGTACAAAATGTGCTAAATACAATTGCGCCAAATTTTAAATTAAATTTTGTTCCCTTACAAATTGTTAATTCGTTCTCAGTTGACTTTATCGAAAATGAAAGAAAAATCATCATCGATTTGGACACCATTGTGAGACATACATCTTTCCAAATGAAACACAAGCACTTTGAAAAATTGGGATATAAAACTGCCAAAATTCACTTTTGGAAATGGAGAAAATGTCGATCGGAAAAGGAACAACAGAACTATTTGTCTGACATCATTTACTCCGTCACCGATAGACGGGCAGGCACCACGGAGGACCCCGCCGGCGAAAATGGCGAGGAAAAAAAAATCAGCGCTTCACAGGGGTGACTGCACGGGGGAGACTGTACAGGGGAGACTATACGGCACCCTACATAAGGTTATACCCCGCCTGTACACACACGCGCGAAAATAATCCCTCCATGTGTCCCATCCATTGTTAGCAAATACTCCCAAAAGGGGGGAAAACCCAATGTTTGTTACCGCATCCTTTTTGTATTGGGCCCTCTTCATGGTTACCACACAATGCGCAACTTCTCTGCGCGATCGGAAAAAGAAAAGAATACCTTACTTTTAAGGCAAAAATTTTACGTTATGCTCCTTTCCAGGTAGCTATTTTTTTTTTTTTTTTTGAGGCTAACCAAAATGTTATGAACGGTTCGTGCAACTGTTGGAAAAAAAAAAAAACACAAATGCATTACTACCTCTCGCGCAACGAATGCATTTACGCAGCAGTGCACAGCGGAGGAATAACTGATTGGGGCTAAACAACACCCCCCTTGTCGGCCCCGTCCTGCGCGTCGCCCTCTTGGCTGCTAAAAGGCCAACTCTGCGAAAAGGAATAGTCTGTGAGCTCCGGCTTCTTGTACTTAAATCTACTGGTCTCGTTGAAAATTCTAAAGTACTCCAACACCTTTACATAATTCGTCGGCTTATCTATTGTTTCCGCCTGGTTGATGGACGATAGACATTGCAAATACCTCGTGCCTTCTATTCTGCACTTGGAAAAGGTGTGCGGGTACTTCCTCAAGCAATTGATGAATTTCCCCCATAAACTATCACACGGATTTTTCTCAAACTTCCTTTGATTTTTTTTCTGAATTTTGTGCAAAATCTCTTTCCCCTGCCACCATTCAATTGGGGGGAAATGCTTCTGCAGCTTCGCAACTGGGAATAACAACTCGTTATTCCTCTTTTTGCTGCAGCCCATTTATGAGGTGCGCGGGTGGGGGTAGAAAATGGTGATAGCGCTTTTAGCGGAGCGGTTTACACTCACGTGAGTGGCATCAAAGTATTAAGGTAACCCTCGCGGGAAAAGACGAATGAACGGTTAAATCCACTTCGTCATGAGATCAGCTCATATAATAACTGTCAGAATGGAAATTTTGCTGCCAATCCTGCTTTACACAATATTGTTCGGATTCGTTATGCCAGTTGTGGCCAACTTTGCAGCGAGGATGTAATAGTGATGCTTTCACGCAGCAATTGTGCGCACTTTGCGCGCGTCAACACGAGGTAGTGAAACTGAGTGTGTGCCAGTTCCATGTACCCTATAACCCCCTTTTCGCACAAGAGGGGGAAACTAAATGCATCATACATATCAACGGAGCACTAATGAGAGTGTTCAAGCCCACACAAGGTCCTCCTTCACCATTTTGCATTTTTAAGGGGTTCCACATAAGGCCTTACAACAGCAGAGTAGGCATATTACTATACGGTGGGGTTATTTTTTTTTTTTTTTCCTTATGGGAAAGGTGGAGAATGCAATACATATATACACGAGGTCACTTGCAATTATCTGCGCATTACATACGCTTCAATTTTTTTCTTCCACCCGTTTAAAAGCGCCCTTGAGTGATCCTTTTAAATTTTAAGCCCCCATTTCGCGTAGCACGCACATACATATTGGATAGATAAGCATATGCAATAATGGTATTCTCACCTGTACAAGAGCGGTTCGTCGTGTTTTCCCTTTTATTTTTTGCCCAACTACGCACCTTCTGCTGCACCTGTAAGGTTACGCTTTATGCCGAACGGATACTTCTTGTTTGAGAGTGTGAGGTGCCCTTTTAACACGCCTACTCTGGCGTAAAGTTCATTCGCCTTGGATGTGCAGTGCACATATGAGAAGATACAGACGGTGGTGAAATGTAAATGTTCACGTGGCTTTAATTTTGTTCAGCTCGTGGTACCAGGTAGCTATTCTTTTATGCCAATTTTTTTTTTTCTGGGTAGCCATTTTGTAACATTTGCAGGAAAATATGGCTGTTTATAAGATTCCTTTTTTTCTAGGTAGCCATTTTGCAACATTTTTATGAAAATATGGCTGTTAATTTTTTTGTTTTTTTTTTGTAACTATTTTGCAAATTTTTACCAAAAATTGTCAGCGGCTCATTTAATTTTTTTCTTTTTTTGCGGAACTAATTTGTAAAATATTTGCAAAAAGTATGAACAGTTAATATTTATTTTTTTTTTTTTTTATAAATAATTTTTATTTTTTTTTGAAAAATATGAACTGTTCATATTAAATTTCTTTTTTTTCATTTTTTTTGAGTATGATGCAACCATATAGGGGCCGCAGTGGAGAAGCCTTTTTTTTTAAAAGGCAAAATGGCGAGAACGTGAAGTGAAGGCATATAGTGTTAGCAAAGTGAAACAAAAATGGAGAACTCGGAAAGATGGTATCTTTAGTGGGGAGAGCCCCCCCCACCGCCACCATCTTTTGAACCATACCATGAAGCTCAAAGAAATGAGGAAAGCATATATTCCAGGTGTAACCACACTTTGGCGAAGAAGGCAACCCCCCAAGTTGGCGCAAGATTTTCCGGGGATGTTCAGTTGGGGGCCAAAGGAGAAAGGAAAAAGGTAGAAGGATAGGCTAACTTGTAGCATAGCCAGCCCAGTCACTGAGGAAGAACAGAAGAACGGAACAACGCAAAACCGGAAGAACGAGAAAACGGAACCACGCACGACTGCATAAACGCGGCGACGCGGATCAATTTAACATAATAATGTTACACGCAGAAAGTCTACAGAAAATTTGTTTCCAAGTTTTCATTTCATCTGCTAGGAAAGTCCCCGAGATAGGGAATTCTCTATTCTGAGGTTTCCCTTATTAGGAAAGCTAGTAACCTGATAAGTTACGTATCTTATAGTATCCTTGCACGGACAGTTATTTTTGCCGCCCGTCCAAGGCATGTGAAATGGAGAGTCAAATGTAACATGTGCTACCTTCGGTGGCATCACGGAATGGGGCTTATACATATGTTAAATTCCCGCGTCGCGCCGTGTCTGCCATCGGCTGTGCGTCTGGCCGCGTTCTGGAAGAATTTCCCCTGCAGGTTGGTCGGCCTCTTAGCTGCTTGACCGCTTAACTTCGTGACCGCTTAGCTGGTTGACCTATTTTCGGTAACCACAACGTAGCGTCCCCCTTTTTTTAGTGTTTCATTTTGCACCCATGTTACCCCCCACACACAACAACAACAACAATAAGAAGTCTCCGCACCGCAAACTTCGAAACAGTCTGTAGTGCAATTTTAAAAAATCACCTTAAAAAAAAATGAGCGCACGAAATGGTGAAGGCGTTAAATGAGAAGGGGTTTTCTCCAACACTGGGCATCGTCGTCCCTATGTTCCTCCATCATTCCAATGTGAAATTCTGTTTTGACTTGTGGCCAACCATTTATTGAGCCACGCACATGGTCGAGCAGAGACAAAACCGTCTGCCCCATTCCACTTCGCACGGCTTTCCCTTATTTTTCACTCTTTCGAAATGGCGAAGGGTCCACGGCAAACAAAAAGGAAAAGAAAAAAGAAAAAAGCAAAGAAGAAAGAAAGGAAAAAAGGAAAAGAAAAAAGAAAAGAAGAAAGAAAGGAAAAAAGAAGGAAAACCTTTTCATTGTACATTTAAAATGTTAAGCTGATAAGGGTAAACTATAAAAACTGCAAATTTTTAAATTTTACAAATATGAGGTAAAAAAAAAAAAAAAAGCAGAGAAACAAATCCAAATGAGAAGACGAATGCGAAAGAGGGCCCAAATGCAGGTAAGAACGTTACGACAAAAAAGGAGGGGGAAGACAAAGATAGGCTCCTAAAAGGTGTACGTTCACGGGGTGTGCTGGAAGATGTACAGAATGGTCACAACATAGAGCTGTATACTCCTTATGCACAAGTTAAAGACAAACTTACGCACGTTTGTGTACACTTCAGGCGTGCGCCGAGGTCTGTGACGTGGCCGCCTCCTGGTGCAGGTCCTCAATGCATCGCTCATACTTTCGGTTGTACAAAACGGTGAGGGGTAGGAACATAAGGATGAAGACGATGACGAGCAAGAGTACAACGTTGGTGGGGTCGATGCTTTCCCCATCCTTGCTCACAATCTGGTCGTAGAGATTTTCACACAGCAGAGAAAAGAGGCCTCCACAGAGGCTAGCGAATCCAAGAAGTTTCCCAAAAACAACAGACGGAAAGGAATTCTGAATGAAGCAATAAATCTGACTCGTGTAAATACTCGTGACGCACATGTATAGGAAGGCAGACACAAGTCCGGAAGCTCGGTGTTTGATCAGTGCTGTCAAATGCATAAGTGCAGAAAAGGCATTCATGAGAATGATTATAATGGCCGATCCATACTTGTTTATAAACCTTCCAAATATGATACAAGGGATACACGAAATGGGCATCATAATATTAATTATGCTGATAATCGATCGGTCGTAGCTAAAATAGGTGTCTGTGACCATCCCATAGAAGACCGTAGAAATGTTGAAGATGATAAAGTAGACAATGATACAGATGCTTGGGTAGCTTACCAGTACCTTGAAAAATAGGGTTATGCTTTTTCTGTGGAAATCGGAACCTTCTTCGATTAGACCTCTGGAAGAGTTGGTTTGTTCGTCTTCCTGCACCCCCTGGATGGCACTTCGGCTTCCTTTGCTGTTCACACGTTTGCGATTCGATTCGCTGGTATCTTTTCCGGTGCTATTTTTCCCACTGCTATTTTCTTCACTGGAGTGTCCTCCCCTGGAGTGTTCTCCAATGTCTGGTGAGTTTCCCCGCGTCGACGGTGTGTTGCTTACATTGCCACTTCTCCCCCTGGACGCTTCCGACTTCTCTGTATCCAATGGCTGCATCTCCACGTCAATTTGGTCATTCGTTTGCCCTGTAACAATTTTTGTCTTCCCCCCTGTAAGGTGTCCATCCCCTTCTACTCCGCTTCCCACGCTCTGATCTTTCTCAAGGTAGTAGTCCAATCCCTTGAATGGCTTAAGAGGAAGCAAGAAAGCCGCAACTAATAAGCACGGCACGAGGATTACAAATATGTACCCATAGCAGATGTATGCAAATGGCGTAGAAGGGTACTTTCGGCAAATGAAGTTAAGTGTAGCTGGGACGGCGTAACTTAACGATGCAGCTGCTCCGACTACTGTCAGGATGAAGGTGGAGGCGTCTGGATAAAGGTTCGAAATGGTTAAAATGGGGATGAAGGCAGTGTCCGCACCCAACCCAAGGAACACAAAGCTCAGGAAAGTTGTATCCACGGTGGTGGAGTCGATGGACAAGAAAATCCACGATATTATGTTACACATCTGTCCAATTATGGCTGTAAATTTGGGACCAATGTGGTCATATAAGAAACCACAGAAAACGGATGTGGTAAAATGTATGGCTAGTGTTATCGGGTACAGGTTGTTTATTCTCTTGTACTGAGGGGAAAGGGTGATGTCTGTGTATTCGCCCGCGTTGAGGTTGTTATATTTCCCCACACTGAGCAACAAGTTTCGAATTGCACTCCAGTCGAAGTAAATGCAGGCGGAGGTCGCTGTGTATATCACGATGATTATTAGCAGAGAGAACCTGCTTATGTTGAATGGCGTTTTTTGCTTGGCACCCGGTAAATTGGGGTCCGTTTTGAGCCGTAGCCCTTTCAGGAAGGCCAAGCAGGGGTTCTCCCGCGTGTCCTTCATGGCGGGGAAACTATATGAGGGGGGTCAGAACTGGGGGAGGGGGGGTTACAAAGGACGATCCACTGTGTGAAGTCACTACGTAGGTGTTTCACCACGGTGTTCTCTTCTCCACGGGGCTTTCTTCTCCAAGGTGTTTTCTCCCCCACGGTGTTTTCTCCCCCACGGTGTTCTCTTCACCACGATGTTCTCTTCACCACGATGTTCTCTTCACCACGATGTTCTCTTCCCCACGATGTTCTCTTCCCCACGATGTTCTCTTCCCCACGATGTTCTCTTCCCCAGGGTGTTATCTTCCCCACGGTACGCTCCCTTACCAGGCGTCTCACACAGCTGTACAAAAAGAAAGAACCTCCGCTGTGCAACGGGATAATCGCATAAAAAATTTTAACAACAAAAAGGGGGTTGTAAAAAATCTGTCACAAGGTTAAAAAAAATAAAATAAAGAAAAAGAAAAAAAAATAAAATAATAATAAAATAAATTAAGGCAACGTGCCCCGAATTTGTTCGAATTTGTTCGAATCTGCTCGAATTTATTCGAATTGATCCAAACTGAGGTGAATTAAATCGAGTCTACTTCCAATTGAAGGGCAATTTCAAGTGGCTGCAACAAGCTGTGTTGCCTGTTCCATGCCCCCCCTTTTTTAAGGCGAAGAGAGCTAACCTCCGTCGTTCTACTTGCCTGCCCCAATCAAGTTGTACGACCCCCTCCAACGTATGCGCCAGTGTGTGGGGGGGTAAAGTACCACGCGCATGCGATTCGCCTCGCCCTCCATATATTGCCGCATGCCACCCGCATAGCAACGGAGTGTTCTATTCGCCTGTGAATTTTAGCAACTCCGCGCCCAGTTGCAAATACCTTCCGTGGTTTTCCCGAAACGTTTTGTGGATTTTTTTTTTGCCCCTTTGAGGTCATTTTTTTGCTGCCCCTCTGTGGTCATTTTTTTGCTGCCCCTCTGTGGTCATTTTTTTGCTGCCCCTCTGTGGTCATTTTTTTGCTGCTTCTCCCTTTTTGCGCCTTCCCCCATTTTGCTGCTTCCCCATTTTTGCACATTCCCCTTCTGTGTGACTTTCGATTTTTTCGCGCTTCTCACCTGCAGCGCCAGGCCGAATTTTCGTCCAATTCTTCACGGCGCATGTGCGAAGAGAAAAAAAAATGCCACAACGCAGCAGCACCGCAACACCGCATCGCCGCGTCGGCGGCTGCATATGTTATTGTCCCCCTGCTGTGGAAAGCTTCTGAAAAAAGTGAGCACATCATTTGCGCGGCAGAAATTAGCCATCACGCGACGCATTGGGGCTCCCCCAAAATGATCCTTCTTCTTTCGGACAACGCACATGTCGATGGGTGTGGCCATCACAGGGATTTTCAAGACGGGAAGGCATCTCCCCACCGCGAATTTACACCCCCCACATTTGTCCCTCCACAAAAGGAGCCAATCACTCCAATTTTGAAACTTGCCGTCTTGGAGGAAACATACAGACGGTATGAAAGTACTCCCCCTTTTTTTCTTTTTTTTTTTTGTCTCTGGCTCAAAATTTCTCTCATAACACTTTGCCGTTGCGTTGGGGCGAAAAATAGAGGCTGCGTTGGAAAAGGCATTCCCCTGTGGATTGCAGTTACGGTGGCGATTTGGATAGGGGTAGCCATGGCGGTTTGGATGACCATTTCCATAGGGGCTGCCATGGTGGTTTTCCTCTCCACTAGGCTCACGTACGCTGTTACGCTAACGCTCACGCGGAAGCAGCCCCCCATTGGCCCTCCTGTACGTAAGGAGGAGCAAAGGTGAGGTGGACGCCAAGAGAGCAATCACAACGTAGGCAAACGGGTTCGGGTCACTCTTACTGTAATCTACGATGAAGTAATTATAGATGGGAATGTTCAATAGAGACAACAACCCGCTGATCATGCTGGTGGTGCCTGCGATCTTCCCGAAATGACGTTTTGGAAACATAAGCTGGATGTAACAATACAGTTGTGTCGTGTAGCACCCTGTTACTATGAGATAGAACAGCGTACTCAAGTAGGCAAATAATTTGCTTCTCATCACGGCAAAAAGATACATGAGAAGACTGCTCATCAGCAGCGATAGAATAATGAGGAGAATGTGAAACTTGCGAATGAGGAATCCAAACGCTGCACAGGAGATCACTGATAACGGTCCGAATATCTTTAGAAGCTCCTGCACATCTGAATAATCTGCAAAAAATAACTTTGCACACTCGTTGTAGTTAACTAGCGATAAATTGTATATAGTGAAATAATAGCAGATGCTGAGGTATCTGATGGAGAAGAAATTCGATCCTGTCTCGTTGCACTTGGGGGGTCTAATATTACAGTTACGCTTGTAGTCCACGTTTTTGCTAAGCTTCCCATCCAAATGGATGACTTCATTCTTGTTTGATATATCCCTCTTTATGGACCCACCCCCAGTTGGAATGCTCCCTCGGACGGAGGAACTGCGCCCATAACGTTCATCCATAATGAGAGAAGAACTGCCTTTTTGTGAAAAGACGTCATTGGAGCCCTCTTCCCGCTGGATAAAATTGCTAGACGTATGTGTACCAACCCTCCTCAGTACGCACCCATTTGCTGAGGATAAGCTAAAGGACGACGAGGTGAGAGCCCTTTCGATCATCAACTCGCGTAGGTTGTTTTTCTCTCCTTCCAGCTCATGTTCGTATTCTGCATAGAGGGACACAAGTGCTTCATCCGCTACGTGCCTTCCGCGGTGCAGACTGAGCTGGTCCCCCTGGCTCGAGCAGGGGCGGTCATATGGGAATTCCACAGGGTCATCCGCAGGGCGATCAATTCGGCTATTCACTGGGCGATGGGTCGGACTATCCACTTCCCGATCAATCGGGCTACCCACTGGGCCATCCATGGGGGGCACGCCCGACACGAGGTACCCCTCCAACTCCTGCAGCGTCTTGTTGTTACTCCCCTGGGCTTCCTCCGCAACGGGATCCCCACCGCTCATATGCTTGAGGGGCAGAAAAATCAAAAGGACAAAGAAAAAGGGAACCAAAATGATCGCGCAATATAGTAAGCAAATTAACTGAAACGACTGGGCGTCATTTGGCGAGGTGAACAGGTCCAAAAATATGGGTATGCTGAAGCTTAAAGAAGCACAGCATCCTAAGATGACAGTATACATCGTATGGTTCTCTTCGAATAAGTAAATTAAACTGAGAATTGGTATGTAGGAGGAGTCGCAAGAGAGCCCCAAAAATATGGCTCCAAAAATGATGGTGTTATTTTTGCCTTCCTTCTGTAACCCAATTAAAATCCAAGAAATGATGTTAAAGGTATGCCCAATTAACGCAGTAATTTTGGGTCCAAAATAATCAAAAAAGACACCCGATATGGCTGACATGATAAAATTTGAGCACAGGATAATTGGGTATAAGGCTTGCACTCTCTTGTCCTGCTCTTCACAACTGTATGATTTACCCTCCAAGTTTTTTCTCCCTCCCGAGTGCACATTTTTGCAATCGTCTATGTACACATTTCCGTGATAAAAAAAATCCGACAAAGAAATCCAGTTAAAGAATATCCCCACGCAGGTTATTATGTACACACAGAACAACATCAACAGAGCATATTTTTTCCTAGTCGAAAATTTGCTAATGTCTATGCCTTTCCTGAGGAAGTTTTCCAACACCCCGTTTCTTTCCTTCTTCTTGCTAGATTCCTCCATGTTCAGTTCGCCCCTATATGTGTGTTCGTGACCATCGGGTTAGGTTTTTCCCACTGGTTCTTTATCTTAATTGTATTGTACCCTCTGTGTGTCCGCCTGTTCGGGCGCAACTCCCTGCCTTCGAACAGGTGCAAGAAATTGGCCCTTCCAGAATTGCCGACGGGGAAGACGCACTCGTTCGTACCTTCCCGGTGCGCACTAATTTGTGTGTGCAATGAGGCAAAAAAAAAGAAAAAAAAAACCCAAAAGAGCACCTTTTTACCTGAACAAGTCAGAAAAAGGCAATCCCATTCAACGCAACTCAATGCATTTTTTTTTTTTTGCAAAATGGCTACCTCGTTAGAGTTAAAGCTAGCCATGTCCAGGGTGCCCATTTGATGGCCCTCTCAACCGCACCAATGTAGGACTCTACTTACGCAGCGCGTTTTTTCTTTTTACGATTGTGGGACGTACACTAGGATGGGATATTTTAACTCGAAGCCGGGTTCCACGTGAGGCCCACTGGCTGATCGTTTATTTGAGCACGAAAAAAAGGCGGAGGAGGGGGGAACGCGGAATAAAGGGGAACAAAACGGATAAACCGGAAAAAGAAGACGAATCAGACAAAAAAGGAAAAACTGGGAAAACAGAAAAAACTGGGAAAAAAGACTAATCTGACATAACGAAACATGCGGCTTTTCCGAGCGGCGGCCCTCTGCACAACATCAGAGGGGCGAGACAGCACTCTTGTTGCGCTGTAGAGGCTTCCCTAATGGGACATCGATGCCGCCTCACTGTCACATGAGCGCGTTCTGCTACCTCCCTCATAACACGGCGCGAAACGCGATGGTCTCCCCGACAGCAACCCCTCCAGGCGCTGGAATGACCTGGGCTGATGAAAGAAAAACCAGGGGATGCACACAAACTCCAAGTCGTACAGTATTCGCAGCACATTATTGCGGAACTCTGTCCTTCCATTTTTGGACAAGTGCATGCCGTTATGTCCAATCTCGTAGTTCCTCTCATCCGTTGACATGTTGTAATGGTAAATCCCGTCCACCTCCAGCAGGAGATGTGGCTCTCCTTTTTTCAGAACCAAAAAATCGACCACGAAACCGCGCTTCAAGAAATATTCTGACTTGTACATAATTTTTTTCTTCTTCAAATATTCACAAAGTTTGTACTGAAAGCTGGACATGTGTACTTTCTGGTGGAAAGACATTTTGTTTCTTCTCACTGTTTCTTTAACTACACAGTAGGGTATATAAAAAGAGGTAGAGATGCGAAGCTTTCCCTTCTTCAAATGAAAAAATCGTCTATTTTTCTTGTAATACATATTTAAACACACTAACATTTGATTCAGCATGTTGTAGTCCTCCTCTTTCCAATGGAATCTGCCGGAAAATGTTCTCCTTAGCAAGATGCACATTTTGGCAAAGGTAGTTATGGAGCTCTCTAGGAAGGTGCTACTTAAAAGTAGGGACCACGCGCATTTGGCGACTTTGTTGACTGTGTCCTGTTGATCGTTACTGTACAGGTGGTGTGTTTCTTCTGTGTGTCTTCCAGTGGGTGGGGCAACCGGGCAGCTGCTAAACCTATTTGACCCTTCCCCCAAGGGGGCATCATAATGGTCGTTTCCGATGCGGTGCCTCCCGCCAGCCCAGTTATCGCCATTAGCCTGATAAGACCAATTAGCACCATTGGCACTATTGGCAGCTTCCTGGTGAGGTTCCCCCTTTGCCATCTCCCCCAGAAGAACTCGCAAGACAAATTTCAAGAAGGCCATGGTTATTATATTGAAGTGGCAACATACAAAAGTGATGGGGTACAGACTGTGAATATCCACCTGCGGGAAGGTCTCCAGAATGCGGAGCAAATGCGACAGCAGGGTCTTGTGTACCACGTTATTTCTGTAGTGTAGCAGGAAAATCTGAACAACGGTTTGGGTCTTTATCGTGTCCTCTGCATTTCGCCCGTCTGCATTTCGCCCTTGTGCAGGTCTCCCGTCGGCTCCCATCTGCCCCTTCAGTATGCGCCAAAATGACTGGTAAAAAAAGTCGTACAGTTCAACCGATAACGTGTTTATGGTGCTGGACAGAGCGAAGAAAAAATTAACCACCCCCTGCATGGAGTCGATTTCGTTCTTTCTTTGCAATATCGCTCCTTCCAATCTCCGCAGGTGTTGGAACAGGTGTGCCTTGGCTTCTTCGACTTGTTCACGTGGGGAAGGGACATGCGCATCGCTGCTGGTCAATCTGTGTGGCGTGCGTTGGGGCGGCATGTCGGTCAGGGGGGTCTCTCGCTCGTAAAATTGGGGTCCACCTGGATCATCCGCAGCTCCTGCAGCTACATCGATTTGTTCATCCATTTGTGTACCCATGTTCTCGCCGCCGCCCCCTCCCGCCACGGAGAAAAGCATATTTCGACTCCCGACATACTTCACACTCGCCATGTTGTACCTATGCACAATGTAGCAATACGTTGCATAAAAAATCATTATCAGTTGTTTCATCTGGACATCCCTAAAATTGCGGGTTAAGAAATCGAAAAAATGGGACAGTGTGTCCATTTGGTCGTACCCCAACGAGAGTAAGCTTCTCAAGGAAAGAACAATATTGGGTATGTTTTCTACGGTGAAGAAGATGTTTCCTCTTTTTATGACCATCTTTTGAATAAAACACCGGACAAAGGGATCGTAGTGGTAGTTGACATTGGCTAACCCTACCAAAATGTCTACCCAGTTCCGCACCTCCTGAGGGGTCATTACTACGTTCATGCTTGTGGCAGTGTCCTGGATACCCCTCTTTTGTCTTTCCAATTTGGTTTCGTAACGCTTGGGGGAATCCTCATTTGGATCTTCTCCCATGCTGAGCGTGATTCTAACTTGTTTTAATTTCGACTCCGATTTCGGGGGGTCTCCAGAGTGGCGCTCATACTGGCGGTGACGCTCGCGGTGACGTTCGTCGTGACGCTCATGTTTAGGGCAACAACCCAATTTGAGGAGAAAACACTCAACGAGTAATCTGTACAGCTGATTATTCCGGACGGCCAATCTGGAGAAGTCCCTCACTAGGGAGGACAAATCTCGTTCGTTAGCGTGAAGCAGCCACGTACTACATGGGCTTTCCCTTTCCTTGTTTGGCAAAGTGTTAGCAGCGAGGAGGTTGTCTCTTCGTTCATTGGGAGCCCCTTTGCAGACGGTACTCTCGTAAACACCACCTTTGTAGGCGGCACCTCCCTGGGGGGGCAAGCCAAAACGGTAACTCTGTCCATTGGGTAGGTAACTCTGCCCCCTCAGCAGCAGGTCGATGATGACCGCAATCTGTGGCTGTTCCGTTGTGCCCTTCTGAAGACCGTAATTCACCGTGATATTGAGAAATCGGCATAGATTGAAGATGGTAAAGTTATGGATTTGATTTGGGGGGACCTGCATCTTCCTCAGAAGTACTTGGATTATCGCGTCTTTGAATTTGCCCTCCCAATTTCGGCTAGCCATTTCGAGGAAGTTTAGAATAGTCTTTATGTCCAACGAGTGCCGTTCAATTGTGTGCAGGATGTACCTCTGCACAGAGATAACCATTTTGCTAATAGAGGAGGAGCTGAAAATTCGGAAGAGATCGTTCGGGGAGGTGGTTTCGCTCACCACACGGGGGGGGTTCCCCACTGGGTGGTTTCCGCCTGAGTGATGTTCCCCTCCTGGGGCATGTCTCACCCCGTGCCTCCTCTTTCGCCACTCGAACAGACACTTAGCAAACTCGCCCCCGTTGCACAACGCTGAGGTGGACAATTTGGCCAAGTCGGCTCCCCCAATCCGGAGCGAAAGGACGGATAAGACATACTGCCGCACATCCACGTCGTTCCTTTGAGCACTCTCCAAATGAATAGCATGCCGCATATACATGTGCGCAAAGTAGAGAAACAGAGCCTTCCAATTTAGGACCACCTCTTCACTCATCAGTCTCTTCTCCTGCACAAGATTAACAATTTTGGACATAGCCCAAAGGAACCCGATGGTGTGTTTTTCTTTCATTCGGGTGAGACTTCCCTCATCGTATCGAACCTGTAGAATTAGACCAACTAGGAGATCCACCAGTGGGGTGGCGCTTTCTTCCTTAATCTGCTTGACTCCATTGATGAGGCTTATGACGTTGCTTTTTTTAAAATCGGTTGCCTTGCCCTTTGTTGCGTCCCATTTTTTGTTTCCCTTTTTTGTGGTGCTATAATGGGAAGAGAGTGTATCCCGAAGTCGTGGGCTGTAGGAAGGATTCCCACGTGTTACAATCCTTGGGACATTGGCTTCTTTCCCCGTGGGGTGGCAGATCCGTTTGGAGGAGCAGAAGTAGCGTCGCTCTATGTTGTGTCTGCCCATTTGGCTGCTTCCACCGCTGATCCCACCGCTGATCCCCTCGCTGATTCCTCCGCCGCTTCCTCCGCCTCTGCCCCTTCTGCGGGTGGGTGGGATGCTGGCGTCGGTGACACGCTTGAGGGCGCTGCTGACTGGGGACGCGCGCTTCATTGTGGGAGTGACTTCCTGCGTGTCATCTGGGTGTCTCCGCTTAGGTTTGCCGTTGGGCGCATAATGGGCAGTGGAATGAGTGGGAAAATGAAAAAAAAAACGTTCCCAAGCTTTCGCAGGGGTTCGCAGTGGTTCGCAGGCGTTAGCAGCTGTTAGTGGGTCTCCATGGAAGCGGGGACAACATCCTTTTTAAAGAATGGCCCACTCAAGGGGAGGGCTGCTTCGTGGTGGGATGCTTCGTGCTGGCTTGTTCTGCTCCGCGAAGAGGTCGCTGAACTGTTTTTGTGCCTACGGGTGGCGCCGAATTGGTAGGGCAGCGGATCGGTGGAGCGTGTCGGACCCCCCCACATCCTATGCCCGCATGGCCCCCGTGGGAAGTTTTTCCCCGCGGGGGAGAGTAAACCTATCCAATTGGTTCATCGAGAGGCTCCAAAATAAATTCCCCTTTGTGTAGATACGGTACTACCTTTTTGGTGACCCTTAAAAGTGGCCGCTGTTCGAAGTGTTCCTCTTATCGTCGCAGCTACCCCCCCCCCCGCCAGTGGTAAAAAAGAAGAAAAAAAAAGAAAGCGGTATGCGCCTGTTTAGTGCGGCTGCGCAGGGTTTGTTACTGGGATACTCTTCTGTAACGCGACCCCTGTTGGGATATGTGCCCTCCCCCGTGAGACACTTCTCCGCGAAGAGGAAGAACAAGTCCCCCCAGTACGAACACCCAGGAAGAGCACCCCTGGGATCCCCCCTGCCGCCACACCAAACAGACCATTTACAAACCAATTCCACACAAGTCGAAATGGAGTTCTGTCAGGTAGACCTCGACGAATTCTGCTATAAACAATTTGATAAGACGAAGAAGTCATGTGCATTTATCCCTTACGATAAGAAGGAGTTTCTCGACAAAGTGAATGAACTGATACGAAAAAAGAAGATTAAAGTTGTACCAGGGTATGCTGGTTTCTGTAAGCATATCTTTGTTGAAAACTTCACCGAGGCGACCGTGGAGACAATAGAAATTAATAGCAAGAATAGAGATCTGATAAAAACAGATTATATTTCTAGAAGGGACAATGAACTGCCTGTATTGATAAGATGGATCTCAAAGAAGGACGTGAAGGACATCATCAAGGCAAAGTACCTCGACCTCATTCTATATTCACGGGAACAGATCGAAAAGGAGAATAAAGAAACGAAGACAGTGCCTAATAGGAAATCCAATTGTCTCTACTCCATCATCTGCATTAAGCCGCAGAATGTGGACTACGAATTACCCATGACTCCCATCACGATGTTGCGCAATACGCTCATCAGCGAGGGTGGCAGCGGCATCAGCTTGAACAGAGACAAGTACCTCGAATCGGTCAAGTACTGGCGCCACCACGTCTCCATCGTCGACAATTAGGAGGGGGTAGCGGTAGAGTAGCGGCGGGGTGCCGATATGGTAGCGGTAGGGACGGGAAGCGGCTGGGACGTAGAGCCATCTTGACCGAAGCGATCATGGGGGAGAAGCTATACGGATCGGACTGTGTGTAAGTACTGCCAAAACGGCTCACTCGATTGTACCGCGCCTTCCCTTACGCAATCTGCTCTCAACCGATGAGGAGCCATTTTTTGCAAAAATGAAAAAATCAGTTTTAATTCAATTCGGACAAACACTGTTGAGGGGGCTCGGCGCCATGTGCAACTGTTAAGTGTTTTCTTTTTTTTTTTTTTTTTTCTTTTTTTTCCTATCCACGAGGACACAAGCTGCCCATCCCTCGTAGCGGGGGAGCCGTAAATGTGCTGTCTTCCCAACAAACCGCCATATTGCCTCCGCACCGCACCAGCTCAGCTCTGCGTGCCTTGCTCGCTCTTGCGCTCCTCGATGAGGCCCATCAAATTTTTCGGCAGTTTCCACTTGGGGACGTTCTCCTGTATAGGTTCGAATGGGCGCAACGTGTACCCGAAGGGCTCCTTCGTAAGCACATCAACAAACTTCTGTGTTAGTTCCTCTGGAGTGGAAGCAGCGGAGGTCAAAGCGATTTTCCTAACATCTCGCAGGGAGGAAAAATCAAAATCGTCTACACTGTTCACCAACACAGCAGGAGTGTTTCGCAGCTGCGACGAGTAAACTAACTTTTTCGCATTTGACGATGACTGACTTCCAACGACGATAGTAAGATCGCACTCGGGACAAATCTGATTCAGTGCCATTTGTCTGTTCGTAGTGGCATAGCATATGGATCCACTCGGAATAGTCTCAATGTGGGGGAACTTCTCCTTTAGTCGCTTCACAATTAAAGAACAGTCATCCATACTTAACGTCGTCTGGGTCACATAAAAAAGTTTGTCCTTCTCCGAGAGTGGCAACTCCTCGATTTGAGCTACATTTTCCACGATGTAGGTACAGTCCGGCGCCTCGTTAAAGGTACCCACTACCTCCACGTGGTTCTTGTAACCGATCAGAATAATTTTGTATCCTTCCTTTGCTTTCATCTGAACGTATACATGCACTTTGCTAACTAGAGGACACGTGGCATCAATTTCGATGAGGTTTTTTTTTTTTGCGAGTTCTCTTATCTGGGGGCTGATCCCATGGGCTGAATAGATTAAAATATTCCCATCGGGCACCTCATTCAAGTCTTCGATAAAGACTGCTCCCTTTTCTTCTAACTGTCTGCAGACAATATCGTTGTGCACGATTTTATGCTTCACATAGATTGGTGGCTTGAACATTCGCAGGCATTCTTCCACCGTCTCGATGGCTCTGCTGACCCCTTTGCAGAAGCCTCTGGGACTGACGAGGTAAAGGACTTTTTCCCCCTCTTTGGGCGTACATGCGCTCTGTGCCGTATTGGGACAGCCACATCCTCCGCATGTGCCGGAGCCGCAGTGGCCTCCTTCTTGCCGGAGCCGCCATTCGGGGGGCCGCCTTACCGCGCCGTTCAGAAAGGAGAACTTTGGGCAAGATTTTCTGCTCGGCTTGGGCCCCCCCCCTCCTTTTGGCTTGCCCTCCAAACGAACGCTCCAATGATTTACCGTCTGGACCACTGCGGGGGGCCTCCTCCTCCCTAAGCGAAAATCAGATACTCGGAGATGACCCCTCCGTAGGGCATGCTCCACCCGCTTCGAATGTGCTGTGGTGAAGAGGACAAGCAGGAAGAGCAGCAGGCACCTCTCAAGGGGGCGATGAGTGACGCGCGCCGCTCGGGCCATTCTGTGGGGCCACACCGATTCGGGAGAGCGGCGCGCAGCCAAGCTCGCCTTAAAGGGGATCCTCCAGCGTGATACGCAGCGTAATGCCCAGGGTAATTCGCAGCACAGCCCCCAACCTATTCTCCGTGTTGGAAGTGTCCTCTATTATTACGCCTTTCTCTTCACCGGGGCGGAAAACGAAAACTCTTCTCATGATCACCCGCGTAGAGGTCGCTCTATCACGGGGGTCTGCTCAACATTAGTCCCGCTTTGTAAAGGGGGCAAACGAGCCAGCTGACTGATATTTCCGGAAGGGAGAAGTTGCGAGGGGGCTGAGAAGTTGCCAACTTGTGCTGTCCATTTACGGAGGCATAACACAGGATCGTGGAAGCCTCCGTGAAAAAAGGTCATCACGTCGCACTCCGCGAGCGCGTAATCGGTGTCGCAAAAGGGAGGTTACATGAAGATTGCAAAATGGAGCCTCTTCCTGGCTGGCTCACAAGACGTAAAAGTGGTTAGAAGGACGCATCAGATAAGGGAAAAGGGATGGAATTAAAGAAAAAAAAAAAAGAAAAAAATGAAATGAAATCAAATGAAATCAAATGAAATCAAATCAGATCAAATCAGATCACTGACGCGCAAAATTCACGGGGCGAATTTGTACGAAGCAGCTATGGGCACCGCTCTACTGGCACACTGTGCCCGTTGGAGCACATGTCCACGTGATGATCCACACACCCACATCCCGCAGCCCCCGTGGCGCCGCCTAGAAGTGGAGGGCAGGGGAGGGGGGCGCCTGCTTGCAGCGGTAAAACAAAACGTATGGAGTGTGGTCGTTGGAGGGGTCCTTAGAAATTCTATTAATACTCTTAGAGCTCGTCTTGGTGACCGCCGAGTCGTCCATCTGGTACCATTCATTCGCTTCGTCCTGCGGATCCCGCTCAGATTTCTTCCCGATGAAGTAGTAGTGGCCGGAGGAGGCAGACGAGCCTCCGTGGATGATGCCTCCATACAGCTTGTAGTCAAAGTTGTTGACGACAATCTTCGAGTTAACCTTCACGTGCGTCTTGACTTTCTTCTTTTCGTTGGAGCTGAAGGACCAGTTGTATCTGAGGGAGGAGAAGAAGTGGGTATAGTGGTGTGTGCAGAGGGGGGAAGAAGTGGACACACACAATCGCTGCTGCCCGCTGTGTGGAAGCTCCCTGGACGCTGCACAAAAAACCGTAACGCAGCATAACTACACATTGTGAGCAACCGCTACATCGCTCCTCATCCATCCTCATCGCTAGCCCATCTCACCTGTTAAGGATCAATATGAAGTGGCAAGGCGGAGAGACGATTTCGTTCCACTTGAGGGCGTTCCTCTTTTTGTTGCATTTGGAGCAGCGGTACTTGTTTGATCCATGGATCTTCTCCTTCTGCACAAAGGTATCAAAAAACTTCTGAATGGATAGTCTCTCGGACGCCTTGACAGGAACAGGGAAGGACAAATCGTGAATGACTTCCTCCTTCTTCGAGACAAAGAAACATTTCTGACATTGGACCTTCTGAACAACAACACCTGAGAATATCAATCGTAGGAACTCTTTACTTGATCCTCCCAATTTGTCAAAAATGTATCTAAGCAGTTCTGTCACGTCTTGTTGGTTTCGATTATTCAGCTCATGTGGGAGGAGACCCAAAATGCAGTCAGGCGAAACGTATGTCTTCTTCGTCGTTGTCATTATAATGTAGAAATTTTTTAACTCTTGCAGAAATCTCTCCGACTCTTCTGTTGTTACATGGCTGATGGGGATTGTTCCATTGAGTGTATTCAGCCTACTCAGAGTGTTCATTTTTCCTAGTGAGCTATTCAGGTTACTTAATCCGTACATGCTTCTATTCCCGTGGATTGCTCCCTTTGGGCTGTTGGTTCCATTGGGCCCAGAAGTAGGGCTCTCCTTCTCCGCAAATGGATTCGAATTGTTTTGCCCTCCGTCTTTTGGATCCTCTCTAATATTAAACCGATATAAATTCACCACGAAGGACACGGTGCTGTATAGGGCCTGAAGCAGGCTATTCAGGTAACATGTGTTTCCTAAGTTTACCAATCCAATCGGTGGATGCTTCAGCTTACCCTTCGTCATTTTGTTGAACTGAGAATTGTCTACCTTTAGCATGAGATACTTTGGAGCAGTTCCTCTCCTTTTCGATTTGGTCGCTCCTCCCAATTTGTTCGTCTCTCCCGATTTGGTCGTCTCTCCGAATTGGTTCGTCTCCCCTGATCTGTTCTTCCCTCTCGGAATGCTGGTCGTGAAGTCCACCTCCTGATAGTTATCACTAAGGGGGTTCCTTTTTATACAAATATTCCTACTGACTGCACTACCAAGGGGGGTGACATCCTGCATCGGATTTTCATACGGGAATGCATTTAGCGGTCCATTGATGGCGTGTCTGCCAATCTGTTCCGTCTGATTGGCGACGATGTTGGGGTTATTTCCGTCTCGTTTTGCTGTTGCGTTGCTTTTCAGAGAGTCTTTTTTTTTCTTTTCCTTGCTTTGCCTTTCAGTGCTTAATGGCAGTCCCTTGGCCGACTCGGGGCCCAGATCCACTGCACTCTTCTGCTCCTTCGGCTGCTTCTGCGCCTTCTGTTGTTTCTTCTCCTCCTCTTCAGACTGCAGCTCCCCCAGGGATGGGAATTTCTTCATCACGATGTTCTCACTTGCGAACGGGTCAGGTGGCATCATCATAGAAGTAATACCTCCCCCCGCCGCTCCTCCTCCGCTACTCTTCTTCCCATGCGATAGCTCCTTTGTCCCTCCATTTTTATACTCCCCTCTGCTGATGTGATAATTCTGGCTGGATAAACTTTGCCTGGAGGTGGAAGAGTCCATGGGAAATATTCCTACACGCATGGGGTTCGATTCGAATAGGTCCCCTTTCGATTCGTGTGGATATGTCGATCTGTTTTCCTCTCCCAGAGCGGCGCCTGCTTCCTTGTTATGATAACTTTCTTTTTCCACCTGGTCACCGTTGGTGGCAGACTCCTCCCCGTCGTCGTTGTCTCTCCCTGCTTTCCTCTCCCCACATAGCGAGGCAGAGCCCTTCTTCCTGGAGAGTATTCTCTCCTCAACCGGATTGTTAAAGTGTAGACTGGTTATATACTCCTTAACATTGCAACTCTCATCGAGGCAGGCTCTTCCCTCCGAGTTGCCTTCGCTGTCGTAATTTCTAAACATGTCGTCGTAGGTGATGCAGTTTTCATCCGTGTCTTCTTCACTGCGGCAGAGGGCCACGCCCATCTGAACTGCGCCCATCTGGGGTATGCTCATCTGAGATATGCTCACCCCGCCCATGGGTGTTGATCCCCTCCCCCTCCCTCCGTTCCTCACGTGAGGGTTGCCATTATAACCCTGGTGACCACTGCTCTGGAGGATCCTATCACCCCTTCCCCGCCCACTGGCAAAGAAGACGCCATCCTCATGCGTCCTCTCCCCATTCGGCCCACTTCCCCCCATCGTGTGTTTCCTATCTGAATACAAATTCAACTTTTCGTTCCGGTAAAAATGCTCCAAGGTGTTTATCTTCTTTTCTCCTTCAGTTGGGAACGCACCTCTGTTTTGAGAGCTGCACGTACTGCTCCTCAGGTAGGATCTTTCTCCGAAGGGGGGCTGGAATCGTTCGGGAAGGCGCCCTTGGGGGAGCCGCCCTTCGGGGCACCGATCATAGAGGTTCTTTCCCTGTGCCATTTCATCCACACGTGGTGGATTGCTCACTCCAAACAACTGATGCGGAGTGCCGACACCGGGAAAGACACTCCCCAAGGAGGAAGAAGCCTGAATCAGTTCTAAGTCATTAAGTACGTCCTGAAGGAGCCTCATAATCTCTACATCAATTTCGTGCTCAATAAATTTCCAAAGAAAAAAGTACCTCTTAAAAAAGGGAATGAAATAAACAAGAACCAGATGCGCATTTTTAAAGGTCCTGAATCCAAGTTTTGGATTGTTTAGAAAATAATGAAACTGCTCTAGGCATGACTTGGCATTCAGGAGGTTCGATATTCTACAGATAACAATCTTGATACAGATGCCTAGGAGGAGTAAATTCTCCATTTCGTTGCTGTCGTTTGGGTATGCGCTTCTCTCGCTGTTCCTTGCGAAGGTGGGCTGTAGGCCGCCCTGGATTGTGGGTTCCCTCGGCTTATCCGCAGGGAAGGGCTCTGCAAAATGGGTGGAATAAGAGGCGTGAGTGGTGTAAGGTGGGGTCTGCAAAGTGTCCGCTGCTACGCCGTCGACGCTACACCGTTGGTGAGACGCACCGGAAACCACCCCTCTGTAATGGTCCCCCGTTGGGCCAAGTTCGTTGGTGTGCGTGGTTCGTAGTGCACTCAGAGGGAGGCTTCCAACTGCATTCGTATCGATGTTCGATCTCACCGCGTAACTCGCCTCTCCCGTACCTGGTCGCCTGGCCCAGGATCCTCCCCCCAGGAAGGCATCGAAGTAGCTGCTGCTGCGCATTTCATTGCTGACAAAATCGTCGAAGTTAAATTTGTTAATTATGTTCTCCACGTCAAACAGGTTCAGGTACCCATCGCCTTCATCCTCCGGCGTGTCATCCCTATTGGAGGAGCAGTTAGACAACGAGGTGCTCCTGCGGGGGGGAGCGGCGGCATCGGCTGTTTCTGCTCCAGATGCGGCTGCCGCTGCTGCTGCCACTCCTGCTGTCGCTCCACCCTCCGCGGGCACTGCCTTCCTCAAGTAGAGTGCGCCCCGCTCGATGCCTTTATTGACACACACATACTCATAGAACGCTCTAAAAAAAATGAGCATAAAATCGTAGTAGTAAAATTTGCTCTTATGCAAAAAGGCAAAGTCGTTAATCTTCTTCGTATCCCAAAAAAGGATACACAGGACATTCCAGATGGAGATAAACTGATTAACATCGATTCGGTTCATTTCAAAAAAGTCCCTAGAATATCTTTTTAATTCACTCTCCTCAATTAGGTACAGCGAGTAGATCAAATCATTTGAGCACTCCTCCTTATATCGAATTATATGCTTCAAAAAGTATGTAAAACAGATTTTCTGCAAATGGACGTTTTTCTTCTTCTCTTCTTGCAGCAAATAAAGTAAGTTCTTTTTTTTGCTTAAATCGTCTTCCCTGCTATTGAGCCAATTAAAGATTATTTTCAGAAAAGATTTCTTCGGACGAGAGGTATAGATATTAGACCAGATTGAAATGACTAAGTTTCGTATTTTACTTGCTTTTATCTCATTAATGTTTTTCTGTTTTTCATTTTTTAAGCATAACTTTAGTAACGTTTTGCATTCTTTGTATCCGACACATTTCAGTTTCTCTATACTTTTCCAGAGGTCGTTTGCATCCCTTCCTCCCCTCGCCATGTGTCTCTTCCTCTCGAAGAAGTAGTTGTCCGTGGGGTCCACGCTCGAGTGGTACCCCTCGAAGAAAATGTCGAACATTTTGTTCTTTATGTGCCTGTCTCGCGCGATGGCGGTTACTCGGTGGTTGGCGGTCCTATCGCTAAGCCTATCTGTAGCTTCGTCTTCCGCTTTGTCTTCCGTTTTTTTTGCCGCTTGGTCTGCCTGTTCCCCCTCTGCTTTCCCTGCCTCTTCCACCGCCACTTCATCCCCGTTTGACACAGGCCCTCCCTCGAGGGATGCCTCCCCCTCCTCCAAGTCAACACTGCCCCGCTTGCCGTCACTCCCAACAGCACTCCGGACACAATTCTTGTAGTACTCACTGGAATGAGTCCCACTGGAAAACTTAAACTTATAGAAAATGTATGTCTTCAGAAACCACTCTGCATATCTGAAGTCAATTTTATCATTAAACAGATAGACCAAATCATCCGAATTGAAATTCCTTTCAAACAATTCGTTATCCAAAATGAATAAATAAAACAAGCAGATAATACAAGCAACGTACAGCTGGGGGTACACATACAGTGTATTTAATATCTCATTGAGCATGAGCTTCTTCTCCTCACTAGACGAGTAATACAAAATCTTCCTGACTTTGTATATTTTGTCCTCGTTGCTTAACTCTAGGGAGAGCAAGATGTTCTTCACGTTCTTGTGGCTCTTTGGGGGTCCGCCAATGTGCAGTTGGTCCTCGCTGTGTAGCTTCTCCTCACTCTGTAGCTTCTCCTCACCGCTTTTTCCCTCCGCTGCGTCCTTTTCGGCCCTGCCGCGTGAAGCACCCTTAGTCGAACGACCAGCTGCGCGGCCGGCCACCACGTGCGCCGCTCTTCCTGCGGAGAAGGTCTTCTCCCCCTTACGTCGTCTGGAACTTGGAACTGGATCATCCGCGTAGTCTCCATCCACCACACCATCTGCGTTGTCGAGATCATCTCCATCCTCCTCATCCACCACGCCATTTGTGTTCTCCAGATCATCTCCATCCTCCGCATCCACCACACTATCTCCACCCTGCGAGTCATCTCCACCCTCCGCGTCTTCCACACCGTTTGCGCCTCTCTGCGCGCGCCGAGCCGTCCCAGTGTGCTCCCCGCCGGAATCGGAGCGGAAGCCAGTGCCAAACCACGCGCCGAAGCCCGAGTCGAAGCGCTCTCCGCTATCCCTACGTCCGCGCCCCTTCTTGCGGTGGTCGCCCTTTCCACTTTTTCCATCCTCCTTAGTGAAGCTCGGGTAAAAGCTTAAAGAATCACTGTTCCGTTTATTCATTCCAAAAAAATTATCAATCCTGAGTGCGCGGCTAGTCTTTTGGCCGCTCCTGTGGCCGCTTCTATTCATCATCTGTACATCCTCATAATCATCGTGGGAATGTTTTTTTTTCTTCTTTACGTCAAAGTCTACTTCTTCGTCTGCCCCGTCTACGTAATCGTCTTCCCTCTTTGCGTCGTAATTTGTGTCGACACTTTTTCTTTCGATTAATCTTTTCAGACTTAAAAAATTGTTGGAAAAAAATTCGAGGCTTTTGTTCAGGTGCAGTCCTGCTCCTCCGCTGCCGCTGTTGTTGTTTCCATGTTCTGCAGGTATCCCACTCCCTTCGTCATTAAACGAGTGGACTGTATCTTTCCCTGGGAATCTTCTTCTGCTTTTTAATTTTTTAACTCTGTCATCGTCTTCGAAGTTAGCATCTTTCAGCTTTACGTGAGATTCTCTTTTTTTCTTTTCATGGTGGAAGGTATAGTAATCATCATCTTCCTCCTTCGAGTATGTGGAAGCAAACGTATTGTGATGACTTCCCTCTTTGCCTGACCGGGGGTCCACTTTGTAGTCCCCTTTGTAGCTCGTTCTTTTCTCTTCCTCCTTATCGTAGAACTTCTTCTTCCTATGGGTCACCTCCACATGGCTGCCAATTTTGTGTCCGCCCTTTCTCTTCTCCGCATTGGATAGGCTGTCTCTGGACATCTTCGTCTGCAGAATTTCGTTTCGCAGAATCTCAATCTCGGTGTTTATATTTTCCGTTCGGATTACTTTGGAGATGTTCCTCAGCATATGTTTTTCTCGCGCGTTTCTCTCGTGTCGATTGTCTCCTTCGTCTTCTCCGTCGTCTTCTCCGACGTCTTCTTCCCGCTGCTGATCCCCCTCTAGGGCAAAACTGTGACGGAAGTCTTTACCGTTCAGATTCTTTCTATACAGTTGGTTATCGAGCACTGAGCTGAAAAACACCTTCATGTATTCTTCCCTAAAATTGTCTTTTTTTCGTCGACTGCCCTTTCGTTTTCTTTTTGCCTTTTCCGAGGTTGCTCCTTCTTCTGCGTTATGCACATCGTCTGAGTAAGCTAGGATCCCGTTATGGAGATCATCTCTTGGGAGATCGTCCAGCATATCCACGTAGAGGTTGTCATCGGGGGCGTCCTCTGCAATTACCGCGTCGTGAAGGCGGCCTCCCCCGTCATGGGAAGGGAAATTTCCTCCCTTGTCATCATAAAAGTCATCATCCCCTAGGGAGCAAATCGAATTGTTGTTGGTTCGACTGGAGTTCCGCTTCTCCTTCACGCTCCTACGCTTGTGTGGTTTGTTCTTCTCCTCTTCCTCCACGATCTTCACCCTTTCCAGCTTCCCACTTTTGCTCTTCCTGGTGAGCTCTCCCTGGAATTTTTTTTTCTTCCTTCTCTCTTTGTGAATTCCGCTCGACTCCTGCGGTTTTTTTTCCAGGTGGTGGCCATCGTGAAGGTCTTCGTGACCACAGCTATTATCACCATCACGATCGTCGTGTTCGTAACCACTGCGTCCTTCTGCGCCTTCCCCATCATAGTCGCCATAGTCATCACTTTTTTCCCTATAAAGGTCTTCCCCTGCGGCCTTCCCCCTCTCCACTTGGTCGTCTTCATAGTCATCGTCGCTGTGTTGGTCATCCTGCTGGTCGTCCTTCTGGTCGTCTTGCTCGTCATCCTGCTCGTCATCCTGCTCGTCGCCCTCCTCCTCATTCTCTTCTTCTTCTCCCTTCAAGCTCTTCCTCCCCCTTGCAACGCCCTTCCCAGCACTGCTGCCCTTCCTGTCACCCCACTTCTCCCTTCTCAAACGTTTGATAAATTCATCCTCCTGGTGAGTGCATTCATTATTCCTGTGCTTTGAAAGTTTCCCATTTTTCACATCGGCGAAATAGGACAGCTCATCGAAGTGATCAAAATTGTGTTGCTTGCTCGATTTTTTTTTTCTTTTTTCTTTTTTTTTTTCTTCATTTAATAATAAAATGTCTTTAAAAAAATCCTGGTGGAACGTCAAGTTCGATCCGTTCATGCTGTATATGTTGCTCATCTTTTTTTGAAGCAGTTTCTTCGAGTTGTTCGCTTCGTATTCAAAATAGTTGTTTTCGTTTGGTACCGTTTTGTTGCTGAAGAGGGATGTCTTCCCAAGCAGATCGTCGCGTTGGAGAAGATCGCTGCGTTCCAACAAATCTGAATTCTCATCTGGCGCCCTGTTCATGTCAGTCTCTCCATCTTGGGAGTTCCCCTTCGCGCCTCTCTGGAAACTTCCAATTTGTCTCATCCCCTGCACACTTCCACCACTCGATTCTCGTTTCACATATCTGCTGCTTCCTTCTGTTTTGTTTTTTTTGTCGTCGCCCCCCTCGGAGCGGTCCACATCTGCTGGGTTTGAGCCCCCCCTGTTCTTTTCTATAGCGTGTGCATGTGTCACTCCTTCGTTCACCCCGCTGCTTTTTTCTTTTCCACTCGAGTTGGTCTTCCCCTGTCCGTTATCTCCAATAGAAACCACCCCACTGCTGCCACTATCGTCATTTCCACCAACCCCTTTGCCACCATTTCGAAGGGAATCCTTCCTGGGAATCACTTCAACTTCTCCCTTGTCAATCGATTTTGTATGATTATTAGGGACAAAATTGAATGAGAGTTTCTCCAAAGATTCCACCCGTTTATCGCTTCGATTTGACTCACTAGACTTCCCTCGCTTCCCCTGCTTTGCATCATGGGAGGGTTCTTCTCCCTTCGAGTTGGTGTACCCATCACTTGTTAACACCGTGCGGAGGTGATTCTTCGACAAGACATCTTCACTTAGGAAGCTTTCGTTCACGTCTTTGTCGAATACTCTACTGAGTGATCCTCCAAAGGGTTCGTCCTTCTTCTGCGGCTCCTTCCGCTCCTCCTCTTCCTCCCCCATCTTGTCCTTATTAAACGCAAACAACGATTGCAAATTTTGGTATTCCCTTATGAAATTCTCGTACACGTTGTCCTTCATAGATGTCTTTTTCTCGTCATTGATATTCCCCTCATCGTGAATCTCACTTGAGTTTTTCTTCTTCTTTTTTTGGCTAGTTACTATGTGTGTATATTTGGACGTACTTTCTTTGGTTTCTTCTTCGTGGATATTACTCGGGTGATGGCCTCGTCGGTCCACTTCCCCGATTCTTCCTCTTTCGGGTAAACTTCCATCCACATCGATCCCTTTGGGATTCTTCTTTTTATTTTTCTTAACCCTCTGTTCGAATTCCTTCTGGGGGTGATTTTCCTCCTCTGCGTACCTCTCCTTGTGCGCGTCCAAACCCCCCTCTGCAAAGCCCTCCGCATCGGGGAGGGAATAACTGTTGTTGTTCATTGTTAGTTCGCCCCAAGGCTGGCTCTGTTTTGAGTTCTTTTTAAAGCGGGGGTCACTGTGGGCACAGTCGCTTCGTGGCGCGCTGCTGACCTCTCTTCCCCTGCTGCTACCACGTCTGCAACTGCTATTGCTGCCGGTATTACCGCTTCTATGGGTGCCCCCCTGCTTTCCCCCTTCGCTCTGGCCAGAAGGTTCGTCGCGTATCCCGTTCCTCACGAAGTGCCACTGGGGCGGAGGGGAACGCGAATCATCATGCAGCGTCCCCCTTCTGCCCTGTGGGTAATTTTTCGTGGCTGCCTCGCGCGAACTGCAGTTCCCGCTTCGGTCAACCCTTTCCGTGGTGTCCTTCTCGTTTCCGCTGCTGTTTTTCCCGCTTTTTTAATTCCTTTCCTTTGCCTTTGGCCCTGGGTTTTGCTGCGGTTTTCCCCGTCGCCTCGGTCTCCGTCTTCGTCCTCGTCTTCGTTTTCAGCAATGTATTTGCTGATATGTTTGCCAATTTTTTTGCCAATATTTTGGGCGCAATTTTTGCCGCTATCGTTGCCGCAAAATTTGGCGCTATTTTTGCCGCAATTTTTACCGCTACTTTTTGCGGAACTTTTGGCGCTATCTTCACCGCAAAATTTGCCACTTCCTCTCACGGCGCCATTACTGGGCTACCATTTTTGCGGTCGGGGGGGGGGATGCACCGCCAAATTGACCGCCGCGCCCGGTTCGGCCGTCCGCACTCCCAGTGTCCACTGCCGTTTGCAGCAATGACTACAAGATTTTTTCACCGTGACGCAATCGGCTCTGCTTAAATTATTTTTATGCATGTGGCTGAGATTGAAGAAGAGAGAAGCAATATGGTTTGGCACTCCGTAAGTGCTGTTGATGTCACTTTTTTTTTTTCTCTCCTTCCCTTGTTCTTCCTCCGCTTGGTAACGGTCATGATCAGATGAGCTGGCCTGGGTTGTCCCATTGCCACTTCTGCAGCAGATGAGGCAATTTTTGCAATTCTCCCCCCCCATGCGATTTTCTCATTTTTTGCATTCCTCGCATCATTCGCATCCTTCCGCGTTTGTGTAGTTTGCTGAGGTGGCCCCCTGCGCTCTGCTTCCCCCCCCCTTGGAACGGTCACTCCATTCACCCATCTGTTGCGCCTTTACCCCTTCTGCGTCTTCTCCGTCCGCGCCGAAAAAGTTCCCGTCGCAGCTGTACATATCGCTGATGTAGAGTTGTTTGTGGTACCCATTCGTATGGTGGCACCAGTGGCCGTTTCGATCTGTCGGAAGAGCACTGTCCTCATGTCTGTTTTTCCTGCTTTCCCGCTTAAGAAGAAGGCACCTTCAGCCCATAAAGTGTACTTTTCCTTCCTTGCTTCGTTGACCTTGGCTCGCGTCCTTTCCTGGCGATGAGAAGGACCTCTCACGCTGTGCACAATCTTCTGAGGACCACCTCCTTACCGAAGAGGAAGTTCTCATCGTCTGTGGAGCCGAACTGGGTAGGAAAGACTGTCTCCTCCCTTATGGGACTTCGCTTTCCTTTTTCAATTCCATGTGCGAGTGTAGAACCATTTCGGATGTTTTCTTTTAAATTGTGGAGGATGAAAAAGGTCGCGTCATCACCTTTGTCAACATCGCCTCTACAGTGACCTAGTCCACCTCCACGGTTGAAGCAGTTCGTATCTCCACGATTGTAACTGGAGCTGTACTTATGGTGGTTTCCACTCTTTTTACTCTGGAGCTTAGAGCAAGTGCTTCCCAGTTTCCCTTTCTTCTAATTTTCGAAATGGCTAAGCCATATGGGACTGAGGAACTTGTCACCGTCATCCACGTGGTCGTTCCGAAGCGACTTGTCCGCTTTGGTTGGTATCCTTTCGCGCATTTTGGAAGACTCGCCTGCTTAGAAAAGTTAGAGAAAATTTTTCATAGGCATTTCTTTTTCATTTCGTTCAATACTTTATGGTGAGCAATCCGTCTGCTTTATCGGAGTGTGCCTCTCCAGCTGCGCCATGTGTGCTGCGTACACGTGTGTACGCGGTGTAGGCTTTCTAGAGGTGTAGACATTCGGGAGGTGCTAGACGCGTCGCGGGAAGCCTCCCTGCAAGCTTCGCAACGTCTCTCTGTCTACTTCCTTCTCTAACACCAATGAGGAAAGACACTAGTGTAGGCGTCCTTATGATTGAAGCAAGGGGTGACTTGGAACGGCATGCGAAAGAAAAGGGAGTCGTGGATTCCTGCCCAACATGTCAGGGGAGAGCGGGGGTGAGACGCGAATCACTCTTCCGGTTCACGCGTTGGTTAAGACTGCGCTGCTGTTGCGATAGAAGTCGAGGTAGAGGTCAATATTGATGTCACTGTGGAAGCTACAATGTACGCCACTATGTAGGCCACTATGGCTGCGATTTTTCTTTCCTCTTTGGGCCTTTTCCCATGTAGGAGAAGCGGAGGGTTCCGTGAGTCGCGATAACACACTCGCGCTGTGCCGCACACATGTGGCTTCTGCGCTTATCCTACTGGGCTGAACGATGCATAGTGAGAGAAACCTGGGCAATGAGACAAATTCACGTTGGCAGTCGCTCGTTTGCTTCTTAGCTATCCCGCTTCGTTCTCACCTCCTTTTCTCATTCTTTTATCCGACAACGGAGCCCCCGCGGGCGCTTCCCTCGAAAGGTTAACTAGATGCCCTCTTTGGCGAGGTAGCCCAGGTGGCAAAGCTTCTCAAAAGAGTGTTCCTTCCCTTCGGTGGGTACACAAATGGAGAGCGCGACGGGAAAAGAAGTGAACAACAACGTGGTGGAAGGTAAAAGAAGGGCGCATAGAGGGGAATGTCTGTGTGTGGGCGGGTGCGCATCCGCCAGATGTAGAAGAGAGGCATACGCACAAGCGAAACGTTTCTCTTAGGATGCACAGAAATTATGGGTTTGGAAAAATTAGACTAGAAGCAGAGGTGACCTTGCTAGCACACATAGGGGAATCCATCCCTGGGCATTTTTTTTTTTTTTTTTTTGGAACGTGAAAGTTGATAAGAAAGATAGGAATGAACCTCGGCGCACCGGGGGGAGAGGCTATGCAGGCCATTCCGCCGGGGGAGGCATACCTTGGTGGTGTCTATACCAGAGCGGCAGCGTTTCCACTTTGCATTGCATTTGTGCTAGTAATGGGCCCTACATAGGAGGGCGCATATTTTTCATCTGCAAAGATAGAGATGCGCCTTCTGTTCACGCTGCTAGTTTTCGGGCCAGCCAGAGGTGGGGGCGTAAGCAAGCGTCTGCGCAGGGGCATGTTAACCCATATGTTCCGGTGCAGGATAGCCTTATACGTTCATGTGCATGATAGCCTATATGTTGATGTCTATACTCAGGTACCAACATGTGTTCGTACGGAGGGGCACCTCCGACTGGTCCTTTGCCCGGCTGTCCTTGTGGAAGGGACTCGGCAGACGGGGTCAAATTCACATCTTTCATTTTACAACTTTCCCGCCTTGACCACTGCCCCCCCCCCACGCCACTTTGGAGTTTTCGTTTTTGCCCTTAAAAAAATGATGCCCCTGTGCGTCAAGGGGACAAAGAGGCAGAGCACTGCAGTTGTTTAGCATCCCCTGTTTTGCGAAGATTGGAAAAGGGCAAAAAGAAAAAAAAAAATGGAAATAAGAGAAGAAAAAGGGAAGAAAATAAGAGGAGAAAAAGGGAACGAAATATGGAAAGACAAAAGAAAGAAAATGATAGCAGCAGGAAGGAAGCAAAACCGCAAAGAAACGACCGGGGGAAAAAAATGCAGGGGGGAGCAATGGCAAAAACGCCAAAGCATCAACCGACAGGCGACTCAAGCGGGCGCTCGCACGTGAACGACACACATTTCATGTGGGCGGTACGTAGAGGAGAATAGCACAATTCTTCAAGCAGCAAAAGCAACGCCCCTTCAGAGATGAAAAAAAAAAACACCAAAGAGAAAAAAAAACAAAAAAAAGACGCCAAAGAGAAAAAAAAAACAAAAAAAAAAAACCCTCCTCTGCGAACAAAAAATAGTAACCATTTTGCGCGTAAAAATTTGCGTTAACTGTGCCCTACGCCAACTGAGCGGTGAAATCAAATCAGTTGCAAACGGCCGCGTCTCCGTGGCCACGGAATGTGCACAGTGGACGAAAGAGCTTTGTTCCGACAGAACTGCAACCTCGTGATGTAGCAATTTATCCTTTCAATCGGATGCGGAAAATTACCCTTCTTACCGGAGGCGCCGGTTCCGAGTTGGTCGCCGCGATGAAGTTTTTTCAAAATGAACAATCACCCCTTAGTGCTCTCCTTCGGCAAATTAACAGACTTGTTCGCGAATTAATATGTCATTCTTCTCACCATTTTTCACGTGAATGATTTTTTTCATTTTTTTGTCTTTGGCGTTTTTTTCTTTTTCTTTTTTTCTCCCTCTTTGACGTTTCTTTTTTTTTTCTTTTTTTTTCTCCCTCTTTGGCGTTTCTTTTTTTTTTTTTTTTCACTGGATCGGAAGCTGTGCATGCGAAATTGTTCGCAAGAGTTGTACACGTAAAAATCTGTTGCACAAAAGTTTATACATAAAACGGAATAGCAAACGCCCGAATGTATTTGTAACCTGGTTTGATTTATTTCCTTGGACACCCTTTTGTATATTTTCGTTGGCGAATGTGTTCCCGTTTGGTTCACTTATTCATTTGTCTGCTATTGCGTTCTTTTTCTCCCTCACCGGATTGCACACATGCGTGGACATATATTCGTAAACATATATACGTACACATATTTACAGATACATATATACGCACACATATGGACATTTTTTGATACAGCTAAACATCGCGTGTGTAAGCATCCCCCCCCACTTTAAAGCGAAGAAAAGGAGGAGTTTCACCTTTCCTCTCTGTGTGTACACATAGATCCAGCACCTCCATTATACGCAGACTTGTGAATTCATCGCCTATCTGGGATTGACCTGCACGTGCCTGGTTACGCATATAGATGATCGCTCCCAGTCAGTTGCGACTGCCCACAGATCGATGCCACTGCGGCGGATTAACACTTATCCAGCGCCAACGCCAGGAAATATTCAGATAAAAAATAAGAAAGTAACTATAAATATATACATGTATTTTATATATATGTACATATAAGAGGGGATCACCGCTCCTGCACGGCCGCCCAGATGACCTGAACTGACTATGCAACTCTGCACATCACCGTCTCGGCCCCCCTTTTGCTTATTCTCCGAAGCATAGCTCCGTTGCAACCACCCCGCCACTAGCAGGCCTCTCCATGTGCCCATTTTTAATTGCTCTTTTTTAATTGCTCTTTTTTAATTGCCCCTTTCTGATTGACCCTTTCTGATTGACCCTTTCTGATTGACCCTTTCTGATTGTCCATTTTTAATTTCCCCTTTTTGATTGCCGTCTTGTTTCCCCTTTTTCTCCCCTCTTACACTCCAAAATGATTTTTAAAAAAAGCAAGTTGCTCGGACTCTCCCTGTTGTTGGTATTTGTGGAGTATGTATGCCGCGATGGGGGACGAAAGTGGATGAGTCTGTTCAGGCGCTGGGAAGCCGTCTCGTATAACGGAAGCGACATGATTCTTAGCCAGAGCAGGTGGGGAAAAAATGCCTACAGGCTCTCTCGAAAGAGTATCCTCCAGTTTGAAAAAGGCTACGAGCAAGTCAGACAAAAGGAGAGAATCGAACGAAGCAGTCTAGTGTGCATCGTGCCCAGTGGAATGCCCCGCTTCAGAATGTTGCACGATGACGTAAAGGCACAGAAGCAGCCTCTTCTCAGGGAAGGGACCGAAAATGACATAAGCCTCAGCGGAAATGCAGAAGCTGCAGTCGATAGTGAAGCAAAGGGGCAGACACAGCTAAAGTCGCAACCAGCACCAGAGGGAGGATCACCACCACAGAGCACACCAACCAAGCCAAGTCCTCTCATAGAACAGAATACGATGGATCATTATATAGATGTGTGTACACAGATAAGAAACAAAAAGTTCTCCTTTAACAATTGTGAACTTTTTCATCAATCACCGACGGTGACACTTTACAGAAACATGTTGCAAGATAAGAGTCAAACAAGATATGACCTCATAGGATATGGAACACTGGATGATGTGTCTCTGTACGGAGCGAGTCAGGCACTAAACAATATTGATATCATCAAACAGTGGAACAAGAATATATACAAAATTAATTACCTCAAATTGAATAAGGACTCTCTACTGCAGAAGTATCAGAAGAACGAAAAAATTGACGCCTCCAAATATATTCTCCAAGATGGGCACCTAAAAGGAAATCCAAGATACATATATCTGATTAATGGACTTCCTTGGCCATTTAAAAGCCACGACACAGCGTATGAATTTTATCAGAAATACACAGGGGATCAGAAGATGCTCCTTGTTGCCAACAGATCTGCGAATGAGGTGTTCGCTCCTAGTGGTTACTACACACGTATAAATAACTATGAGAATTTTTTCTGCCTCTACCCTAAGAGTGATGACTTCTACGAGAAAGGACTGGAGTATGTCATCTCCGTTTACTATGATGTGAACATACATGAGTTTTTCCGCAATAAGATTCTGTCTCAGATTTTCCCTTCTCTCATTTTCAACTTGCATGATTCTTCTAAGAAAATGACTGAGGAAGGACTATCCGTTTCGGCTGATGGCATAAGGAAGGAGCTCCCTTTTCAACTCACAGAGAGTGCTACTCTTAACCATGCCGATAACCAGGACGGCATCGAGATGTCCACGTCCCCCTTCTTTGGCGCCACCGTCCTGCGTATCATCTTCGTGGACCCCTTCTACTACATTTGGACCACCAATGTGACTTTGTTCAAAAAAATCTACGGCATCGTCACGTGCGTCTTCTGAGCTGCTACCGGTGAACCGGTCAACCGATCAACCGACCAACCGACCAAGCGCATGCTCTGTGACCCGCACCCCTCCCGTTTCTTCTACGGAGCGCATATCTCTCACACAGTGTTCCCTAAAAAATACACACAAGTGAGTGAACTGCGCACAACCCCCCGTCGGCGTTTCGCCAATTTAGTGGTGATTCTCCCGTGTCGCCCACCGTATTGGACACCTCTGCTTTATTATAATTTGTTAGCTCGTCTCATGTTGATGTTTTCTTTGTTCTTCTTTTCTTTTTTCTTTTTCTTTGTTTTTTTTTTTTTTTTCTTCCAAAAGAACAGCCACCTATATGTTCAATCTGGCGAAGAATCCTAAATTTTTAATCATCTTCATTCCATGCAAACTTTTTCTCTGTTCCATAGACTCTTCAGCCTTCTGTAAGAAGCTGAAAAGGAAGGGCTGAGTACGCCGCATAGCCATAGTTGCAGCTGCTGCGGTGACCACGCAAGGCAACTCAATCCAACCCCTTTGAACAGCTCGTAGAAACAGCCTTAAACAGGTCACTCGAAAGGAAATTCGCCTCTATCTTTTTTTACCAGGAAAAATTCGCATGCACGTACATATCTAAGGAACGCTATATACGGCTAGTCAAAAAAAATGATCTGGCTATGGCAGGTGGTCGGTCGGAGTAATCGTCCAGCCGCCCCCAACAATATTAGTTTAAGTTGACAAAAAAAAAAAGAGAAAGAAAAGCGTATCCTCAATGATATGGCAACTCCTCCAAAGGGAAGAAGCACAGCCAATGTTTGCACGTACACACATCATCGGAAGGAAAGATGTGTATAGAATGCACCTTATAAGTATTACTAAGGGGCATTTTAAAAATAACCTCCGGATAATAACTGCATCCCATGGCTTCTACTCATTGCCTTCATTATGGGAATGCCCTCCCTTATATGTGTTCCCAGATGTCCCACAATTCCGCTTAGGATTTATACCCCTCTTAAGGCGTCTTCAGAATTACTTCTGGCAATAAGACAGCTGAAATTGCTATACAGAAGAATACCTCATAGGGATTACTCATTACAAGGGGGGGTCTTCACTTAATATATTTCCTTTCCCCATTGTAAGGATGAAAAAGGGAGAAACACTCAAAATAAATCTG